TGGCTTGACCCTAGCATTATCTTTTACATAGCGCAAAAAATTAAAAAACAAGTAACTACAATTTGATACAAAAAATAAATCATTATACCCTGTTTGATTTAAACGGAAAGGGAAACTATACGTCGTTGTACTCAAAACGAGATGAATTGTCGAGATACAGGAAAATATTTAGTAAACTTGAGAAACAGTATCACTAAACTAATTATTGTTTTTAAAGATATGTAAACATAAGTTTTTAGGGAATACATAATTTAAATCTGAACAATTCAGGAACAATGCTTGTGTCTAGGTTCCTGAACTGTTCTATTTTCAGTTTTCTGACATATTTATCTGTATCTCGGACAAAACTTGGATCAAAATGAAGGAAGACGACAGAGCTACATCAGTCCTTAATATCACACACTATGTACAATACTCTATATTACTATGTACAGTTAATGCTGTCTTGAGAAGTGCTGAACTGGTTTCGAACAACACTCATTATTATTATTGTCCAGTCTATTTGTAAAAGAAATAAACATAAATTTAAGTTTATTTTTTCAGGGGTAAAATTAAAAATAAAAATGAATTGTGGTGGAAAATTTTCAAAATTATTAATCCAGGACATTTGAATTGAACTTTTTTTGAGTTTTACTTACTACCTCAGATGTTATATGTCATAACGGAATTTCGTATATTACTGCACATTGTTTGCAGTAACTGTCCTTTTGCTTCTGTGGTTATGATTCTGTTGACGGATATTGATTAGTGTCAAAATTAAAATCAACACTATGAAACAAAATTCAAATATGTTCTCTACTATTACGGTATGTGCGCCTAAAATTATAAACTAAAACATAACCAAACTGAAAAAGGCACCTACTTTAATTTAATAAAATTGGAACGCACTCAATTACTAATTTCGGAACATACTTGAAATTATGACCAGGAAATATCATTGTTATCCGACGATACGATTTTAATTTTATTGGTTGAATTTAAAGACGATCTTCGATTGGTTAGAAAATTACGCAGTTTTTAAATTAATTGCATTTCATGCCTCCGTTTATCGGATATACGATTTGCTTGTGATTGGTGTCATTTTATATTTTCATTTCCGTAACGTTAACGATTTCGCTGTTTTACTTATAGTCTAAAAGCTAGCAACGTTTTCGAGAGAGAATTTTAAGAAAACTGGTTCTTTAATATATCTTTTGTTATGCTCTCCTGAACAGAGGACCGTCTGGCTGCCGGTAAACCTTGCGTTTACTACTGCGCATCATATCTATTCAACATCTGTTCACTACTGCGCATCACAAATTCGCCTTGTATTTCAGGAACTAAGAAGGCTGGGACAAACATATCTGTAGCATATTTAGTTTCATAAAAAAGTAGCAAAGTAATGTAAAACTCGCATCATTGTATCTCTAATCATAAACGAGAAATCCCATACAAAAACACGAGAATGGGATACCCTGTACAGATGTGATGCGCAGTAGTGAACCGTTAGTCAGATTTCCAGTACTTTGGTGAGGGGAGCATGGCAAAAGATATATTAAAGAACCAGCTTTCTTAAAATTCTTGTTTTCGACGTTGCTAGCTCTTGAACTATTATATTTTTATTAAGGTTAGATTAAATTTGTCAAAAAAGTGTCAAAACGTCCGTTATCGTACGATCTTTCTCCGTTGACGGGCTGGAGTAAAAAAATTATGGCTGATAAGTGGCGCAAAAACGCTATGACCACTCAGAGCGCCGTTGGACCACTGTATCAACGGATAACGGACGCATGAAAATCAAGCTTAAGAAGAAATATTACTTTAAAAATCTAAAATATATTTTGAACGTCCTTGACGTTCGTCCTTGATTAATATTTTTTGAGGAAAAAAAATATCCCATTAAACAACAAATAATGGTTTCATTACAGACCTATTTATTTTTACGCAAACTTAAAATTTTAGGTGTTGTTCAAACCAATTTAACATTTCTTTATTAAATTAACATTTCGTATATACGTTTAGTTGCAGATAGGAAATTTATTAAAGAAATATGTCATAATATAGATAATTTAATTTATTTTGGAGCTGTCAAAGCTCTGTATTATTTTTCTTTGCTCTTTTTTTATATAAATATTAAACATATTAAAAAGCGGTGTATAATCAGTACTACAATTTTGTGATTATTCTCTTGTATTATAAAAAAAATGTTTTTTTATAATGAAAAATAGAGGAAAATAGAAATTCAATTTTTTAAGCGTTTTATAGATGAATTTGTTAACAATAATTGATGAAATATATCTCCAGTGATTCAATATAAAACATCCTATGTACAGTGTCAAAATTGTATGTTGGCAAACACACATGTGCAAGAAAGTTGGTAGAAAGAAATTACAGCATTCACAGTATTGTGTGTATTAACAATTAATTTAATAAATAAATAAACAAATTTATTTTCATTTATTAGTAATAAACCACTCTGATTTGTATATATTCCTTTGTTACAATAATATATCTATTTTTCACACGTCTCTACCTTTATTATTTTGCTTTCTTATTATTTAATTAAATGCACAGCACCTAAATAACATGAAACAAATATTTTTACCGATAACTGATTATTGGAATGTTTGAAAAAATGTATTCTCCAAAGAGAATATGTTTAAGCAATAGTTTAACCTGCGAAATGAGACAATTAAAAATATATGGCACAATAATATACCGTGTGGTGCGTCGGAACACAGGACATAGGAAATCCCATATAAATTTTGAAAACATCCAATATTATCTCCCCAGATGATTTTATGCAAAAATTATATTAGACTTTTTTGAAGATGCAATATTTCATAATCGTAACATAGTTTTATTTAATTTAACACAGCTATAATATAAATTATAGTTTTTCTGTTGTCATATGAGAAAAAAAGGTTTTAGATATTTTGACACCCTTTTATAGCTTTTTATATCCGTAAATATTTTTTATAGATTTTTAATTTACCTTTCTCTTTTACCTTTCTTCATTATTTTATCTTATATTTTATTTTTTTTTCATATGACAAATTGGCGCCCAACGTTCTCTGTGTTACTCTATGGATGTGAGAGCTGGACACTGGATTCACAGACCGAGAAGAGAATAGAAGCCTTCGAAATGTATATATACAGACGGATGCTGCGAATCTCATGGGTACAAAGGATCACCAACAATGAAGTACTCCAGCGCATGCAGAAACAAAAAGAGATACTGAACACCATCAAGGAAAGAAAAATGCAATACCTGGGTCATGTGATGAGAGGTGGTAGATACGAAATACTGCGCCTCATAATAGAGGGCAAAGTGCAAGGGAAAAGATCAGTAGGAAGACGCCAGAACTCATGGCTAAAAGATTTGAGGAGATGGTTTGAACGCTCGTCTGCGGAAATCTTCCGGGCTGCAGTTTCCAGAGCCACAATTGCCATTTGGATCGCCAACCTTCGGCAGGAGAGGGCGTGATAAGAAGAAGAGGCAATAAGTTGTACTTTCGTCTAGAATTTTGTTTTATTTGGAATCGGCACCTAAAAGTTATTTACAAAAATCTACCTTCACACTGCTAAACATTTATAATACAGCCCAGAGAAAGCTACAATGAGGAAGATGCATAGATTTTATTTTTCGCCAGAAACTGTTCAATTTATTAGAATAAATATGTGTAAATGCAAAAAAAACTTTTTTCTTGAAAGCAGTACCACAGTTTTATAAAACGGGCCATTAAAATATTATGGACAACGCAAACGACGCCTCGCGAATTGAAACGATATTCTATTGGTCTGACGCCACCCGCCGTTCTCGTCGACGCGCGATGGCCAGCAGCAGCCAGACGTGTTCCGTTTATGTACGTATTTAGGTGGCGTACTAAGATATTTTTGTTGCTTTTACCGTTGATTGAAGGAGCTTTTTATGCTTTTTTGTGCAGTTATTATTTGTATGTGTTGTGTGTTCTGAGAATTTTTTAAGTAATGGCAGATTCCGGGTTTGTAAAAGCACAATCAGATAACTTGCCAAAAGTCGATGCTTTTATGTTGGCTGCTTTTATAAATACAAATTCCCAATTTATTGGTGCTGAATTACGAGGAAAAAAACAGAGAGGTATGTAACATTTATTCTTTGTAGTACTGAGGCACACACAGTGAAAAGAGACAAAAATATTTGTTTAGTATGCGAAAAAGTAACTCCAGAGCATAGCGTGAAAAAGAAAGTTTTTTTTATATATTGACACCCCCTTACTAGTTTTGATTACAACTGTGAAGTAATCTTACCAAAATCAGATAGAATAGTTGTTACCCAACAACTCTCAGCTATAAGGTTTTACCCAGGGTCACAGGGTTTTTTTTTTCTGTGTTGGTTGTTTATTTTGTGGTTTGAGTTTTTCTTTGTTCAATTAGAATTATATCTTTTGCCTTTTGTTTAGTGTGAATATGTAGAAGATACTTTTTGTTTTTGTTCTCTACTTAATTGGAATACATTTTTAGTTGTTTATTTAATATGAAGTTGTCATTTAATAACAAAACTAGTAACAGACATATCGTTAAAAAATACAATTAACTTGTACTTAATTTCTAATTTTAATATCTTGTATCGAAAAGTATCGATATTCCAAGTATCGATATTTTAGCATTCGATATATCGACATCTCGATATTTTTGCTTACGATCCGCATCGATAATAAATATCGATATTTTTAGATTATCGGAACATCCCTAGTCTAAACACCATTAGAATATATACACTTCATTTTATAGAAAATTTGTTAATTTTGAGAGCCATAAAGTAAAAACTAAAAAAAATTCCAAAATATTTTTCAAAATTCGATTCAAATTCGAGTTCGAATTCGCGATTTTTTTTTGCGAAAAAAACATCATAGACGTGTTTCTGGGGTTGAACTACCAGTTAAAATACTTGCACCTATTTCTGGGACACTCTGTTAATTTTGAAATCTCGTGCATTTTTTTTAATTTAAGATTTTTATTCAAAATGGCTATTTTTTCAAAATAAAATAAAAATAAAAAATAGAAAAAGAAATTTCAATGAAACTGGCAACATTGCTTTTCCCTCTGTCGCTGTCATGTCAAATCAAGTGTTAAAATTCTCCATAACGTCAAATATGTGTCAAAAACTACTAAAATTAAACTAAAATATTTTAAAATTTTGTGCATAATCTCCATTTTTTTTAATTTAAAACTACTACTAAAAATGGTTACTTTTTGATAAAAAAAAGGAAAATGCAAAAATCGTGTGTCAGGATAGTTCACCGGACCCCTCTAGGCCGCATTATAAATTTTACTAATTTGAAGGTAGATTTTTGCAAATAACTTTTAAATGACTATTTCAAATGAAACGAAATTCTAGACAAAAGTAAAACTTTTAACACCTCTTCAAAAAGTCAATACAATTTGCAGCTTTACAAAATTTACATGGAATTTCCTATGTTCGGTGTTCCGATGCACCACACGGTATATATTTATTTAATTAGAAACAACTCAGTCTTGAGAAACTGGTAACACCAAATTTGTTTATTTACAAGACCTAGGAGTTTTTGCTGTTTACCTTATAAAGGTGAGTAGGAATATTTTACCTTTATAAGGTAAACAGGAAATCACATTTTTTAAGATAAAAACACAATTTTCATTTATATTTATGTTAGTCTGTTTCTTACTTATGGTCTTCAATTAGTGTAAATTTTTGACAAGTTTTCGATCCTAAGGTATTAATTAATAACAAGAAACAAACTCATGGAATGTATTATAAAATATCGTAAAAATATTCTTTTCATGTTAGAACGGATATCGAAACAAAATGATCCCTAAAAAAGTCAACGAACTCAATACCGTCCGATACCATTTTTTTACACACTACCTAATCATATAAACCCCCTAAATAAACCCGAAACTAACGAATAATCCTCCCCATCTTTATACAATGTACACCTATGTACATATTGTCGTTAAGTTAAATTTTGTTTTAGTCCATGTGTGGCCTAGCCCGATCCACCTTCTCCGCGTTACCGGTACTACCTCGTTGTTTAGACTCGGGGACCGCTCTCAGTGCTTGGACAGAGAGTGCCCCGAGTGCTTTCCCTAGCTGCTGGTGCTGGCCATCGGGCTGACGGGGCTGAGGGGCGTGCAGTTGGCGTCGCGCAGGCACCCGTTGAGCGTGCAGAGGAGCTTGCGCGAGCCCGCGTGGTCCCGGTGCTCGCAGAGCCACACGCCCTGCCACGTGCCCAGGTTCAGCTTGCCCTCGGTGATGGGGATGGTGAGGGAGGAGCCCAGGAAGCAGGCCTTCACGTGGGCGGGCTGCAAACAAACATCAGGGTAATCCGGTGTTTAACCATAGAAAATTTTTGTTATTTTTAATATAAAATTCAATTAAAGTGATTAAAAAGTACTCCCTCAATACAAAAAGAAATGCAACGTAGTTACAATTGAGGAATAAATAATGAATCAAATTCTGAATACAAATTTCAATGGTTTGAAATGACGCGTAGAAAATTGTGACGTTACCTATCAGCATTTGACTGAATAGTTGACAGAGGGCGAGAGCCTCTGAAGAATAATATTATGGCGTGTCTAGTTCTCTGCTACCGTATTTACACTATATATCTTAAAATCACGTTAGATTTTTCTATTTTCATTAAAATCGTTAAAAAATACGTTTTTATGTGGGATTACTCTTTATTACCTCAACATTAAATTTACTTTTATATTTTTTACTACTAGAAATTAAAACTTAAATTTTTATAATTAACAGGTTACTGCCACTTTTATCGAAGCACTAAACACTACCAAAGTTGTTCTGATGTTCGAGGCTAGATTTGTGTTTTATGGATTTTGCGTTTGGCGTTAAATACTTTGAGTTTTCAATTTTGTTTTATTGTACCCACTTTATTATTTTTGTAATGAACGGTGCTAAAGTTTGTTTTGTGAAGGGCTGTCTAAATAACCCTGAGGGCTCTCCAGAAAAAGTTTTTATAACTGTTCCTTTGGATGGAAGCCGTCGCAGAGCCTGGTTTGAAGCGGCAAGACAACAATATGTCAGCAAAAGTACGAGATTCTGCTGTGAAGATCATTTTAACGTAAGTTCCTTAAGTTTTGTTTTACAATTAATTTTATATCTACTTTAAAATATATTTAGAAAAATGGTTTTTATTTACCTTTGTACCTGGTGGCAAACCGTGACACTTTTGATAGGTGACGTCAGAGATTGCAAAAGTGTAAATTTGAAATTCTTAATATTGATTAATTTTTTTTAAAAAATGGGATGAAATTGAAGTAAAATAAAAAAATACGAGTGTCATAAAATTGTATGAAGATTAATTATTTGCAATAAAAAAATTCTGGTTAAACTCCGGATTATAATTTCCATAGAAGGTTTGGGAATTTAGGCTGAGTAAACTTTGAAATCAGAATGTTGCCGATAAGAATACATTTGAATTTATTTATGTACTTGAAAAATGGGAATTAAAAATAGTTAAAAAAAACGGCGTCAGCGATAGCTATGAAATGAAGATCGCTGTCATTTTATATGTAAAATCGCATGTAAAATTACATGGGGAATGTCATCGATGTTCATTTCCAAGCCAACTGGGCGCCATCATATGGTTTTACGCCTGCGGCGCTTTTTTACTCTCTAGTCCTCTATTTTTTATTTTGAAGGTTGGCAACCCTACTTTAAACTCCTGTAGTTACAAAACAAAACAGAATCGGAGCTATGGTAATCGCAAAATAATTAATTTTGAGTGACAAGCGATGGCGACAGCGCTGCCAGATTGTGATGGATTTATGAGACGAATCTTAAGAGTTTTACGTTTTATTTTTAATTTAATAAATAATATTTTCAACGGTCAGGTCTTTGCGACCTGGTCGTCAGTGAGTTCGAGCCCTAAGGAGTTCAGCCACCTATGTCTGGAGACCTATTTTCCAGAAATTGTAATATACAGGGTGGCGCCTCTCATACGCCGCGGAAGCTCCAAGGAGAACGGTAGTTTATATCGAAATGAAATTTAAGCAGCGTATGTAGGTTAACTGAAAGCATTTTATAAATATATATAGAATTATACAGGGTGCCCCCAAAAAAGTTACACATCAAAGTTGCGTTTTTTCTAATATACATATATACACCCGATATATTAATTGATTTTCTGATTCTAGGAAAAAAATAACGGTAAATTTTATTAAAGAAGCATATACCTAAAATCTAAGGATATTTCATATTTTGTGAAAATGAAGAGTAAATTTTAAATTTCGATAACATAAAGCTTAATTCGATAACATAAAGCATAACTAAATTTTAGTTGACCTGGTATAGCCTGATATTTAATTACAGTAACCATTGTATGTTAAATCAAATTGAAATTTGACCCGAAAAGTTATACAGGGTGAGTCAAAATTAATATGGAACATTAGTCACTTTGAAAAGCAAGTTACATCTTTATTTTAAACGGAACACCCAGTATATTTTTCAGGTGTTCAATGGGAATCTGTATCTTCAAAATATTGTTAAGGTTACCTACCCCTCAGACAAAGATTATCCTAGATATTTTAATTTTTATGATTTTGTGTCAGTAGATCTTTATTATTTGAAAAAATCTAGGGTGGCTGTGTGATATACCTTTTATTAATTTAACAAAAATTAAAGATTGTAGAGTAAAATACTCAACGGTAATAAAAAGATACGCCATTTAAATCATATTTTAATTATTACAGAATTAAAACTAGATATAAACCTATAATTATGCGACAAAAATTAGCTAGATGAAATGAAATGCTCAATATGCTTCATTTCCTGTTAACTGCATAAAATGATTGTCTTTTCAAAAGGATCTTTTCATTTTAAAAGGCATATGTGGAGTTCTACCTCGAAAAGCAGCTACAATAATTTCTCTCATGTTGTCGACAACAGTTGGTCGAGTTTTGTAAACAACTGTGTTTAACATATTCCCATAAAAAAAACCAGACTAGATAAAATCAGGAGCTATAAGTATTCTATTAATTGGTGAATGCACGCTGCATTCACCATCAATTCTCTCTGATGTAGGATAAGTTTCCATTTAGGGCAAATTTCTTTGAATTTTTTTTGTTCTAACTGACACAAAATGATAACTAGTTGCTAAAGTTGGACTAATTACACAGCTATGTTGAAGTAACGTACGTTGTAGATCACCAGCCATCTAGATTTTATCAAATAATAATGATCTACTCAGATCAAAGTATGTAAATGAAAATATCTAGGAAAATCTTTGTTTGAGGGGTAAGCAACCTTGATAGTATTTTGAAGAGACATGAATTCTCCATTGAATATCGGAATAATATACTGGGTGTTCCATTTAAAATAAAAGAGTAACATGCTTTTAAAGGTGACCAATATTCAATATTAATTTTGTCTCACACTGTATAACTTTTTGGATCACGTTTTAATTTGTTTTAAAGTACAATAGTTAATTTAACTACCTATTAGGCTATACCAGGTAAATTCCAATTTAGGTAGCTTTTATTGTAATTTAAAAATTGTTCTTTATTTCTAGAAAATCTTAAATATCGATAGAGAGAAAAACCTTACATTTTAGTCATATACTTCTCTTATAAAACTTACGTTTATTTTTCTGCCAGAATCCGAAAATCAATTAATATATAGGGTATTCCATTCCCAAAAACACAACTTTGATATGTAACTTTTTTTGGGGACACTCTGTAGAACTCTTTATATTTTTAAAAAGTACTCTGAATTAACCTAGACATGTTCACACAAAATTTCATTTCAATACAAACTGTCGTTCTCCTTGGAGCCTCCGCGGCGTATGAGAGGCGCCACCCTGTACATATATTTTTTATAAATAGATCATATAATTCTTACATTCTTACATTCAAACAAAATTACGTTGGTTTATTAAGTTGGCCACCATTAGACAGGATCTATTAAATATTAATCTTACCATATCATCAGGTCCTTCACAAGAGTGTCTATAAGGTAAACCTTCTGGAACAATTTTGTTTAACATCATCTCCATATCATCTCTAACATCCGGATCCCAACTTTCATTTAGCGCCAAACTTGCACTAGTATGAAGAACTAAAAAATCAGTTATATTAATACGTCTTAAAAACTCTATTAAACATACATATTTTACTAAATGAAGAAGCTTACATTTAATATTAAAATTGTCTTATTACCTACTATTAAAAGATAAACCAATATCGTGAACAGATAAGCTACAATTCTCAAATTGTTTTAAGTAGCTTACAAAATTATACATATAGTAGTGTTGACAAATAAAATATTAAGCAAATAAGAATAATCCTAATTAGAACAGTGTTATGTATTTACATTCTACATACAGCAAACATAAAAATGCTTCAAAAATAACAAATGTTGAGGTTTTTGAAAAGTCATCTAATGTACGGGCATAATAATGTATTATTTTTCAGGAATGTCATTCATAAATTATTCAGTGTTTACAAAGCAATAATGAGAGAGCCAAGAAAAAGGGCTATAAAAATGTTCTATTCCCAAAATATGTTCATCCATTTTACTCTAGTAAAAAAATATAAAAATTTCTGTGTTGTCATGTTTTACACAAGACAATAATTGTGAAAATTAAAATAAACTAGCTAAGAGCTAGTTCTACAGCAGTAATGTATTACTTTGTAGAAGCATTTTAAATACAAATTAGATGGTTGAGGCATTTTACAAGTGAACGTCAGGCAAAATGTAAATATAATAAAATAAATTTATAAAAAATACAGTTTTTGAAATCTTAATTCGATGATACAAATGATATTTAATGATTTAGTAGGTCAATCCATATGTTGTATGCCTTGCATGATAAGATATTTAAATTAAAGCGTGAAAATCATGTTTTATATTAACACATTTTGTAATTTTATGAATATAATTCTTGAAAACTTATTGTTATATAATAGAGCCAATTGAATACAAATTAAATTTATTAGCGGTTATTTATAAATAGATAAATGCGGCTATGCAAAGACTATTGATAGAAAAACCACCTATTTTTTCCTAATGTGAGAAAAATGCTGTCAAATGCGAAAAAATCCGACAGCAAAGAGCACTTACTTTGGACGTGACAGAGCCCTATCGCGAACTGCGATAGCTCGGGAATCTGCCTCAAAATCTCCTCGGTCACCAAATGTACGCCCCGGTGTTGGGGCCTCAAATTTATCTTCTTCTGAAACCAGGCCGAATTACTTTGGATAATTCTGGCCGAAGAAGCCATGTTTGACTTGCCACTGCCGCTGTCGGTCGCCAGTTTGAACGTTTTTATCGTCGCGCCGATCACAAACAACCAAAAGCCACTGATACACTTATAAACCGCAGGTCCATTATTATCATGAGCAACTCATTGGCGAATTGTTAATAATATATCTAGAGAAAAACAAAAAAAAGTTACAAGAACTCTCCTCTCCTAACCGCAGTACGAGCGGCTCGTGTCTGACATTTCGGCGGCGATCGGGCGTTTCCGGACGGGCGCGGACCGAGTCGCGCCAATTTCAAATTCTCACCCCGTGCGATCTTCGGTATTTCGAGGGAGACTTTTTAGTTTTAGCGTGCGGAACTGGACTGGATTCGGGGTAGAATGGGGGAGGAATCCCTAGACAGTAAGACCAATCGAAAAACAGATTAGGATCGTTTAATTAATCCGTTTTTCATGTGGCGAGCAAATAATAAAAATGGACGTGGGCGTGTGGCTTAATAATTATGGAATAGGGAGCATTAGGGAGCGGTTGAATAGAATCCAAGGTTCTTTTTATGTTCCTCGGTGCGAGGAAGGGTATTTAACCTAAAGACAGGCGACCCTTTGCGCTTTTAGCGTTTCGTGTACGAGCTAAAACGAAATATCGGTATATAAGTAAAAAGAACATTGGAAAAATGTCTTCGGCTACTTTTGAAGCGAATCCTAACAGCGAAAACGAACCCTGGATCGAAAAGCCCGCTTTTGAGGGGCTCAAATTTCGTATTTGGCATATTATGTTTTTTTGCGTGTGTGCTTTTGGGGTTTTAGGTGAGTAGACATACATATCCTTAGTGTGCGACGATGAAAACATATTCAAGTGCGATTTATCTGCTTTCATTAATTTTATGTAGAGCAATTAGCTATTTTATTACGGTTTTCAATGTTTCACGCTAATTGCATGTGTGTTTGTCACGCAAACAATTAGCCTAATACTCTATTATGTCTTAAGAATACAGGGTGGTCCGAACTGTATTCCGGAAACTTCGGTAGCAAATTCTGCAGATAAAAATAAGTAAAAAACTTCGTATAAATGTATGTCATAAAATATTTAGTTTCGGAGATACAGGGTATAGAAGTTTCAAATTTATTATGATTTTTTCCAAATAATTTACGAAGTAACGTCAATATTTGGATAAAAATTGGTGTCTGGGATATTTTTGACATGAGAAATTTTATTTTGATGTCAATATGACTCCTATTTGTAAGGGGCGCCACTACATGTGTTTTAACTGTTTTGAAGAGTAATAACTTTTTGTCCAGAGCATAACTAATGAGTGAAAAAATCAATCAGTAGGAGTCATATTGACATCAAAATCAAATTTCTTAGGTCAAAAAAATTCCAGACACCAATTTTCATCTAAATATTGACGTCACGTCAGAAATTACTTGGAAAAATCGAAATAAAAATGAAACTTCTACACCCTGTATCTCCGAAACTAAAGCATTTTAGAACATACTATATTTATACGAACTTTTTACTTATTTTTGTCTGCAGAATATGCTGCCGAAGTTTCCGGAATACAGTTCGGACCACCCTGTATGGTGACCCAAGTTTTTGTAAAGACTTTTAAAGGCGATCGAAATATTGTTACGACTTCTGTGAGTCCTTATAATAAAATAGTCGATAATACACTTACTTAACTAATTTATTAAACAATGAGAAACTAAAATTTACTAGTTCAATAATACAAAAATACATATCCTTACATTGTTATTCCTCCATAGATTGTTATATTGATAGATTTTTAATTAACGTCATATTTTTTGCTGTTTTTAAATATTAGAGAAGCACAGCATTTATTATAGCACAGAATATTAGAGTTATCGGGAAATGTGATACTTTAACAACAGCAAAAATATAACGTTAATCAAAATTATATTATACATAGATAGCCATCTATGACCATCTATCAAAGAATGCAATCGAAATTATACTACCATAGATTTTTTTTTATTTTTAGGACATATAGGAATAACTAGGAATATATTTTCTAATTTTTTCTAAAACGATTTGTAAATTTGGAACAGTATAAACGGGATTAAACATTTTACAAGCAAACATTTTTATGAAGAATGCGTTTTTCTCAAAATGTCAATAAAAAAGTTTTTCCTCTTGTAAAGACAATCCGGGGATATACTGTAGATACAACGAGGTAATAATAATTATTACTTCGCTGTAATAAATTGTAAATATACAGTGTTGTGTGTTCACCACATACGACACGTAGTATTGTAGCTAAACGATTAGATTTTTACGAATTGTAAGTTTTGGGTTCGTTGAAGGACTATTAGAGCTACAATTTAAAAATATTTTTACAAGATACAGAGTGATACTTAAACAGTTTTTTTATTCTTTTTTAATGAAATAAACGAACTATACCGACAATATTAGTATCTGTACTCTTTAAAAATTTGTTACATCTTTAAAAATAATCTAAAATGTCAATATTCCATGGGTATATTGATAACTGAGGTCTAAATTATAAGAAAATACAACTTTGATATTTTTTATTTACTTGGGACACTCTGTATTTTGTAAAAATATTTTTAAATTGTAGCTCTAATAGTCCTTCAACGAACCCAAAATTTACAATTAGCAAAAATCTAATCGTTTAGCTACAATATACTCCGTGTCGTATGTGGTGAACAACCCTGTAAATTATTTATAATTTGTTGTATTTTTTAGTTGTGCTGATTTGTTGTTGCGTCAGGATCAGGATACCCCGAACGAAGCAAGAGATCGAAGCTGACTACAAGCGAAAAAAAATCACGACAAAATTTCGAAAAAGACTGAAATTTATCAGTAACCAAGAAATGGAGGCTATAAACCTTCAAAAAGGTACAATGGATGTGTAGTAAATGTGAGAATGGGCTTTAAAAACAAAACGTATATTCTTATTATACTCTATGATCAAAAAAACGGCGTCTCATGACCATATAATTTGACAGTAATTTTCAGTTTCCAGCCAACTGCGACGCCGTTTTTTTTCAGTCATATAGTACAATTAAATGTTAGGGTTTTTATTTATTCCTTAGGGCCGGTTCTACAAAGCAAGTACCGTATGATAAAAAAATGGCGTCCAGTTGGCTTGGAAATGACGATCGATGACATTCCTTATATAATTTTACATATAAAATGACAGCGATTTTCATTTCATAGCCATAGCTGACGCCGTTTTTATTCGATCATACGGTATATACCAGGGATAACCAATTCTTAGAATATCTATTAAAATTTCCGTTGAAAAGGTATAAAATGTTCGGAGAATAATTATTCCGAATTTATACTCGTTTTGTAGAATCAGTTCTTAGACTAAGAATAAAAAATTGGCGCCGGGAGGCACGTATAGCCGCCCATACTAAAATATGTTAATAAAAAGTTGGTAGGCAGTTCTTTTAGTTTCAAAGTAAAGGAATTTTTCCAATTTTTTTATCTCAAAAACTGCGACTTTGGCTGATTTTGATGTTATTACAAATTTTGTTGCAAATATTATTCCTAATCTTAAATTGAAAACCGCGTTTCGCTAGCTACTGTAATTTTGGAGTTACGATTTTTAAAAATTTTTAACCCTCTCCCATGCCCCCTTACCAGCCCCCCACCCCCACCAAAAACTAATGGCCAGATTCTCGGGTGCCACAGTATTTTTGTGCCAAATTTGGTTAAAATCGCTTTAGCGGTTGCAGACAGACAGACAGACAGACAGACAGACAGACACCATGAAAATATTTTGTATTTAGGTCATTTATGACCCAAATAACTCATTTTGAGTGAAATTAAAAAATCTTTTTTTTGTCGATCTTAATAGCCTACCATACCTATTGGTATGGTCGGCTAAAAAATATTATATTCAACTTTATATTTTATAATTAGTGGTGTACTCAGATATATGGAATTATTATTTAAATATTACTTCTTTCTGATTTTTTAGCTCTAGAAATAATAATAGAAGCAGACTACAAACCTGAGGATGATGCTGACGTGTTTGTAAATCCCAATGTAACAGAAAACCAACACTTGGTGCCATCAAGTACGACAAACTTCGGTGATAAAGTTTCAAAAGTCATTTCTATGGGAAGGATTTTGAAAAGCCAGAATATCAAATACTAGGAATAATCTATGTCATTATGATTAGGATTAAATTAGGGTGTTTATTAAACATTAATAGAAATAGAATAATTGAAAGTACTTATTTTTTGTATTTCTCAGCTTTTATTATAATAATATAGAAATAAGAAATATACAGCTGTTTGGTATTGGAAAAAAGTGCTAAAGATTGAAAAAATTAAATAAATACCTATTTAAGAGTAAATTGATGCTAGAGTGTGAAAAATATGCAAATTGTTAATGCAATTTTATCTTAAATAATAATTTAATTTTGATAAAAAAGTTTTAGTGGGTATATTTATATAAAATAGGTTTTTTAATTTACCAAATTAAATTTAAAGGTTTCGATATATCAAAATAGTTGTATCAAGTATTGACAAATTCCTTTACATAATCTTTTGGTATATGATACATTATTTCTAATAGGTGGGTCTTTGATAAGGTGAGAGTGGTCATCATACAGAGTGGTCCGAAAATATACATTTACGACGTTTTTTACGTAAAAAAGGTCTCTTGGTAAAAATCGCTACGAGTAATGGTTCTCGAGATATTTGGAATCGAAATTATCAATACCTGTCATCATTGACAAAAATTAACACGTTGACTAAATAGTTATTAGACTAAAATCATAAATTTGAAATGTTTTTGTGCCAAAAGTTCAACAGAAACGGTTTTATCATCATTTTTTCGCAGAAAAATTTATGATTAATTTAGAAAACTAAAAATTTCCCAAGTATATTATTTCATTCAAATAACTATCTACTCAACGCGTTTATTTTTTTGTCAATAATGACATACATTCACTATTTCCATTCTAAATATCTTGAGAACGGTTTCTCGTAGAGTCAAAAAAGTCCCAGACACCAACTTTCATCCAAATATTGGCGTTACTTCAAAAATTATTTGGAAAAAATCGGAATAAAAATGAAACTTCTACACACCGTATCTCCGAAACTAAGCATTTTAGGATAAACATTTATACGATTTTTTTACTTATTTTTATCTGTAGAATATGCTGCCGAAGTTTCCGGAATACAGTTCGGACCACCCTGTATATAAAATATTTTAAAAAGTACTTAATGAATGAGTGATGAACTTTACTGTATTGCCATTTTTAAACAGTTCCTCTAAAAATTACCTGTTAAATTTTATTTTAGATACTAAATAAATTGACACATAATTATATGATTTAAATAAAACATGATAGTAGACATGAATTTTATTTATTTCTAAAAAGTACTTTATTAATTGCATTAAAGCGAATAAGGAATACAAAAATAATCAGTAGAAATCTTACATATTAAAGAGCTTAGAAGAATTACTACTTAGGTATAGAACACGTAAGTGTTCAAATTAAATACATTTTAAACAATAAATATTTTTTTACGAAAAGAATAAAATGAGTATCTTATTCTTTAAATAATTTACCTTTGGCAATTTTTGTCCAGGTAGATTTTGCTTGATTTGTGCCTAAAGTACAACCTATACGTTGAATCAAGCTTCACCGACAACATTTCTTCTTAACCTAAATTACGATTTTATACTACAATCTCGTTGCTGGATATCTTGTGCGGTCCAGGACCTTTGTCCTTTATCTTCGTTTGGACGGTTTGAAAGGTAGATCGGATTTCGTCAAGAGTAGTACCTAATCCTGACTTGATGCTGTTGAATTCTTGCGATAATAGACCTAGTTTTCCCAGGAGGAAGTTTAGATTTTCGTCTACTTCCGTCATTCTACCGGTTATTAGACTAACCTGGAACCAAATGATATGTTTTATTTATTTATTATTACGATAAGTGTTTTTAAAGTGAATATAAATAATAAAAACGTAACTTTGTCATATAAGTATATAATACTCCTATATGGCTAGTATACCGGGTAGTGCATCGTCGTTGGAAACATAGGAAGAGAAGGAGTGTTTTGATTGGGGGCTTTTACCTAGACCAACCTTTCACTACATTTCGTCACATGAAAAAATAAAAAACATCTATATTTGTAGGATTCGAACCTACCCAACTAGCAAATAATATAATAGTTCCCAGTCCTTTATAGTGGCACCAATGGAATGTATAGTCGCCAGCGCCGCGATCGGTGTAGCATAATGCTCCAATTAAGTGGCAATTTGGTGGCGCAGGGAACTTTCTTGGAAAAATCACTTTATGGTTCCAAAGAATCGTTGACCATGTAGTTCCAAAAAAGTTACTGTTTCTATAAAGTCGCCTTTGGGTAGCTACAATTGTCACTTTATCAATCCGAAGATTTTAAAGGTCCAAACGGGTAGGGTTGGCCTAATATGTTATTGTTCCCGGTACTTTGTGGAAGCATATGAAACTATAAAGTATTTTTCGGACTAAACGGCCATATTTTTTTATGAACTTTTAGACGAATAGCCAAATGGTTCAAACATTATGCGTTTTTAAGCTAAATATACCTAGATTAAAGCTTTTTTCCTTACTTATTTTGTTATTTCTGACGGTGGACTAATATTTTAAAGTTTGATCCCGGTTTCAAGCAAATTATTATTATTTTTTAATTACAAACATGAGTTTCTATTGCAAATAATATAATAATTTGTAATATTTTGAAAGGCGCTCAAAAATTTTGTTATATAAACCCACTATTTTATTCAGTAAAGTTGATTGCGTTTTGGAATTTACCTAAAAAATGCGTTAAAATCGCACGGTAAATAACAAATAACGAAAAAATAATAATGGCTTCCGTAATTATTTTCCATCATAACATTTATTTTTATGAAATGTGAAATTGCATGAAGAGGTCGCTGCGAATGAAGTTCAACAGTTTAACGAAAGTTCCACATGTCGGTGGATAACACTTGGCTGCCACGAACCCGCGACTAGGCAGCTTCGTAACGGATAAGTCGCATTCACCAGTAGGCTACTTTATAGCAACACATCATAGTAACTCTTTTAGTGGCAAAAACTACCAAAGATACTACCCGGCTACTCAAAATCTTTCCTCATTTTGGTCGTTGGTTACTTAGAAGCTACGAATATACGACGTAGCCGCCGATGGTCACCGCCCACTTTGTAGTGGCTTTGATAGTAGCAGTTACGTATCTGCCACTATAAATGCTAGTTGGGCAGTACAACTCGATCCGGAAGAGACCGTCTTACCAATAAAGCCGCAGCTGCTGTTGCAACTAGGCTATAGCTATAATATATATTGTGATTTCTTGGGCGCTAGCCGCTTGTGTGGTTGGTCAACAAAATTCTAGAATGGTGAAGAAATTCACCAGAACAGAGACAAGTGAAGAACTTGATACCACGAAGCAAAGACAGAAAGACAGTCAACGCTGTAGTGGCTCTAAAGCCAAGCCCGCACTATAGACGGGTGGAGGGAAGCTTGTCGGGTAGAGGGTGAAGGTTAATGGGTAGAGGGTAATATGCCTTGTACGCAGTAGTGGACGGAAAATTATTAAAACAATAACCAATCTAATCAAGTTCAGTTGCAAATTGAAGCTCTCGTGAGTGTCTTTAGTAGTTAGTTTTTCGTTTGTCTTCTGCTCTGTGACAATTCTTATGTGAACTTTGTAAATATGGCAAATAAGAAGATGTGGGTGCATGAGTATAACTTGCATAGAGACCATGATGGAGAATTTTTGCGAGTTTACAAGAAAATGCGAAATTACCCTGACAATTTTTTAAATTATGCACGTATGATTGTAAAATCGATTGATTTTCTACTTAATAAAGTTCAAGACAAATTAGAAAGGATGTCTACAAACTTCAGAGAAGCAACTTCTGCAGAACAACGCTTGTGCATTACAATTTTTCTTCTATTTTTAGACCAGAACTACTTTACGCCTGACTGAAAATATCGAACACGACTGATCCTCAAGTGGCTCGCTTGGCGAGTTGCTTTGTGGCTTAAGTTGGTGGGGGATTGCACTGCGGCTGGTTTGGATAAAATCGCATGTTACGGAAACATACCTCGCGGGTTACTAGGAGGGTCGCTTGGCGCCTCGATACACACTACCTTCCAGGTAACTTGCTTGCACTGCGGCCTCAGCTTTAGGGTCTACTAACAGGGCATCGTAAGCTGAATAGGCATCTAAAGCTAATGGGATTGACAGACGAAGCCATTTGCAGGTTCTGTCAATCTGAAGGAGAAACGACAGAACATATTTTTATGTATGTCGGTGTGACAGTCTGGCAAATGAGATGCAGTTTTGACAGAGAGCTATATGGAGGGTTCAGTCTCCAAGTTGATAGACTTTTTGAAGGATAGGACTGGAGAATATAACCTAAGGATCCGTTGGAGATAACCACCTCAAAGAATTTAATCTAATATAATCTGGATTAAACATAAAAACTATTAAAATAGAGTAAATAAGATCAAAAATTTTTTTTTTCAATATATTCATTGTTACCTTTCCTTTCATGGTATCCATCACATCCAAGGATCCAGTGACGTAAGTATCAGTTTGGTTTTGCAGTTTGTTTAGTGTATCCGTGCTAGCCGTCATTTGCTGGTGCATGATGCCAATTTGACGCCACACCCGACCTATTTCTTCTTGTATTTTTGACGTTAGATTAGTTAAAGCTCCAGATTCTTCATCTAGAATGGAGGATTCAAAGTTATCGAACCTATAACGAAAATCCAGTTCAGTTTAAAATAATCGTCGTCGAAAATAGGAATAAAGTAGCTAGTAGCTAGTAGAAATAATCTCGAAAATAGGAATAATGTGAAACCTAAATCTAAATTGGGATGTCTAAGATTTTTACACTCTCAGGGATTTTATTATTGACTATTTTTAAATGAAAAACTTGTGCACAATCTCTTTGTGTATGATACACTATTTCTAATAAGCGATTATGTTAACAACTGTCATTATACCTGTCGTTAAATCCTTGTGCTATTTCGTTGGTTCCATCCTTGATATGTTTGGAAACTTCATTGACTATCTGATGGATTCCGTACTCAACACGACGTTTCGTATCGAGAATACCATCGGCAGTTTGCATGATAACCTTGTCTAATTTGCCCAACTCTTGAATTTCAGATCTAAAGAACATATTAGTAATGAGATAATTAGTTATAGGTATCTACGATGTTTGAAAAACTTTTTTTGGATGGGATGAAATACTCCTTTTGGAAAAAAGATAAATCTCACATTAGACAGAACTGTATTAGATACTTTGTAAATCTAATGGTAGGGAAACGTTGCAATTACAACTACAAACGCGTCCACATACGCTCGTTTCTTTAGCACCCTGTGCCTGTGCGCTATTTAACCTACACTATACAGGGTGCCAAAATATAGTGTATCTAACTTCAGTGGGTGTTCTAAAGATAAAAATAAAACAAAAAGTTTCTATGAACATATGCCCTAAAATGCTCTCCGAAGAAGTTACAGCCGAAATGGTAAATGAAAATAATATGGTAAGAAAATATTTTTAAGAACATTAGTAAACCGTTTTTCTTGAAATTTGGCACAGTTACACACATTTTAATGCCAAAGCGAATGGTGATAGTGTAAATTTCCGTAACAGCCCTGAAAGAATACTGTCATTTATGGTAGAGAGTACTACCACATATTAGATATCCTATAAGTATACAGATAAAAATCTTGTCCCTAATTTGTGGTACGAAAATTGTTTTTTATGACGATGTGCAAACGAGTCAAATTTCCTGTGCGCAAAAATAAACTCGCGTAAAATAACAATAAACAGCGTAATAGAGAGATATCGCTAAACCGAATAGCGTGCATGGACATTTATAGTTATCGGATCGAAAAGAATTCTGATCGCGTCGCGTCCGCTATTTAAACTTAACCTAACTTTGAATTTAAAACTTTGAAATTGTTTTGTTTACTGGTTATTTTAAAACTAAAGGGCTAAAGTGCTTATTTCCAGTGCTTTATTGTTCAACGTCTGCCAGTGGATTTAGGGCAACAAGCAACACATTCTCTTAGAAGGGCTAAGTCGTCATCTGCTGTAAACCTAAGACTCTTTATAGGTTCTTTATAGTTCTTATTGGAAGAGGTGGACCAAACCAATCCATATTTTGGGCCATATTTATTTAATTAAAACTAATCCCAGCTTACTTAAATATCAAATTACCTAATAAATCTAAAGCAATAATTCAAAACAATTCAAACATAACCTAAAATAAAAGATCTCGCCGGCCGGCTCCGGTTGTCAAATACCCGCACATGCCCATTTAAGCAATTTTTAAACGTGATCAGAGGTAATTTAGAAAGAGCTCTTGGTGTAATTGATCCGCAAATTACGTCAGGCGGTAACGTTATTAGCGGGTGTTGCGTTAAAAATTGATTCGCGCATATCGTAACCATGATAAGGTACGCGTAAATACTGGATGACGCTATTCGGTTTTCCGATATCTCTCTAATAACTGTGCCGGTCAGGCGCTGTGCACAATTTTAGAGGCCATAAGTGGGCGTGCTATGTGCGCAAACTAGTAACCTAACTAGTGCCCGATTCCGAAAATTGGAACCACGAAAAACAATAAAGAAAAAACAAAGATTATAATCTGTATAATCTGTGGTACTACTGGTGGTACTTCTTTTATCCAAGATACCAACGTTAGATACACTATTTTTTGACACCCTGTATTTGTTTGTAAATACGCGCAAATAAACTGTGAGTTTGACAAAGCGTGCTTGATCATTAAATGTTATGATCTTGCTGGACTGAGCTCGTACTAAGCCTCGAGGTGCTGCAACATAGTAGAGCGGCGAGGAATAGCGAGGTACTTGCAAATTTATTATTTTCATTTGCTTATTGATAATTTAAAATGTTAACGGTGGCTAAAATTCTGGGCAGTAGTGTCGCAAATATTTGGTTGATTCGAAACTAATAAACCAGAAGGTGTAGTGTACATGAAATTTTTAATGAAACGATGAAAACAAAATTATTTGAATCGATCTCGCCCCTCGATCTAACCGCCCAAGCAGATCGCTTCACTAGGTTCACGTACTTGTCTTCACAGGTTTGTTTTGGACGCGATGTCGTGCTGCTTGCTCGCCGCTAGCCTCGTCGCTTCACTGTGTTCTTAGCCTTAAAAGTTTTTACAATAAAAATAGGTAAAATCGATTAAATGGACAGCGTAAAGAGACACGAACTCACCTGATATCACCATAATTCTTAGCAAAACTCTCAGTTAAATGTGAAGTTATTTCTGTCAACTCGTTGAATGACGTCTTCACCAGCTCCTGGTGCTTCACTGCTTCAGACTTGATTTCCATAATACTGTTTTCTAGCGACTGGACTGAACTTCCTGGTATCGTGCCAGATGGCGACTGTCTGGCTTCTTCCAGTCTATGTTCCAGTTTGTGTAATGTGGTGTTGTGAGCGTATTCGTGGTCCAATCTATCTGGAAGTTTGCTGATTGAAACCAGGACGCCTTTGACATTGTTCAGGATTTCGTTGACTTGAAGTTTTTGATTTGCCAGTTCTATAATACCAGAGTAAAATTTCTGTTAATAAATTGCGATTTTTTAATATACAGAAATTTTCGAAAAAACCTTGGGGCACTTGGTAGTATGGTATTTTTAGTTGTGCATTCACTTCAACAAAAACTGTTTATATAGGGCGTGTCATGTAATAGTAAACTAAGTTTTATATTTTAAATGTAACACTCTGTTCAGGAGTATCCCGTTTTACGCTCAATCTACGATAGTAAATGCACATGTTTGATAAATAACATTTCTACGAGTGTGTGAACATTAATACAGGGCCCGGCAATAGTGCGTCGGGCATCTGTGGCTTCTAGAATAAAAAAAACTTGGGAATTATGTTTAAACCTAAAGTATGTACTAAGATGTCTTTTTGGAAAATATATTAACTTCTATAAGATGGCTCTAAAAGTGTGAGTGGGTCGGAATGAGTTTTTAACACCCTGTATATTATTGAATTTTTGGTTTCCTTTCATATCACTTTACTATTAACTATTATTTATAATCCTAAGATATGAGTAAATATATTTCGATAATTTCAGAGATATTAATAAATAAATAAAAAATATATTTTTTTCAACCTTTCTTAAAAAAAATATTAAAAATACAAGAACTGTCCTGAAATCAAAACTGTATTAGGTATTTACCTTAGATCGTCTGTACTTACTATGCTATAAATATGGTAATGGTAAATCATACAGGATGTTCAAAATTCTACGCCAAACTTTCTGAAATATACAATAATTTTTCTTCGTTTTTTTTTTAAATGTAGTGAATTAAAAAATGAACATTTTTTATAATTAGAGTATTACGAAATTTTTAACGGTTTCGTAAATATTCGCGGTTTTATATTTCATATGGCATTTTTCACGGTAAATGTTTATCAAAGCCATCCAGTGATTTTTCTCTCATATTTTACCATTGAAAGCGCCATATGAAATAATACTGCCTGTATTTGCGAAACCGTTAAAAATTTTGAAATACTTCAAATACAAAAAATGTTCATTTTTTTAACTCTCCATCAAATAAAAAATATACGGGGTGTTCTATTAAAAAAAACAAAGAAAAATTATTTAAAAAAAAAAGAAAGTTTGGCGTAGAATTTTGAACACCCTGTATGATTCAAGATTACGATATTTATAACAAAGTAAGTAGAGATCATCTAAATTAAATATCTAATATCGTTTTGATTTCATGGACAGTTCTTGCATTTTTATACCTTTTTTGAGAAAAGCTGAAAAAAATATTTTTTTGTTTTTATTTATTAATACCTCTGAAACTATTAAAACATAATTAAAATTATTTTAGAATTATGTTAAGTGATCAGAAAGGAAACCGAAAATGCAATAATATACACGGGACCACTCACACTTTTTTAAGCCACCCTGTAGAGGTTAAATTAATTTCGTGAAACATATCCTAATACCACCTAATACATACTTTAGATTTGCACTTAAACAAAATTTTTAAGTTTTTTATTTTTGGAGCTACAGATACGCGACTAACTATTGCCAAACCCTATACAGGGTGATCCTTAAATAAGTGCAAGAATTTTCAGGGTTAATAGATCTCGATAAAAGAAGCATATTTTCTCTTTGCCGTTTTTTAAATTAACTCCAAAATAACCGAGTTATTTTACTTGATTATTACTATGATTTTTTTCTTAAATTTTGAGAACCACTGGATCTTTCCTGGGTTTGCTTTCTTGTAAATTTAATCTACCACCTGTGTTGCCATATTATCAAGAAATTATGGTTTTTAACTAAAAACTAAAAAGAAATCTAAATTTCCAAAATTTTTATTTCGTGAAAAAAACCTCATGATCGTGTTTCTGGGGTCGAAATATACTACCCCTAAAAATATTTGCACTTATTAAGACTCACCCTGTATAAAGCCTTTCTATCTAATGTGGAATTGGTAAAATCGCGCGTAAAAAAATTGGTAAAATGCCGCGTAAAGAGATGGACTCTGTATATTATTAAATTTTTGGGTTCTTTATAAAATTTGAGACTTATTATGTAGATGTAGGTACAATATGTTATACTTTTACTTATTACATATGTTATGTATGTGACAGTTTGTGTCCCCATATGATTTAGTATCGAGTGTCGATAAGTGGTTCAAGGAATACGGTCCGTTAGGCCTGGACTATATATTATGAATGACAGCTTTAAGTATCTATTTTTCTTAAGAGCGACCCTGCGAGGTCCCATCCTACCCTAATGGAGGTAGATTCATCTTGACCGTCGTAACGTACACAGCTTTTTGTAATCTTATTGTTTTTCGCCTTGCTATATTTTGTTAAAGTGAATAAAGTTAATTAATCCTAACAATGTTGATTTTCATTTATTATAACTGGCGCAGTCGGTAGAATTCCGGAAAGATAACACTGTTAATCTTTGTTTTCGAGCATTAATTCCGGTATTGTGAAAAACCTTCTCAAGGCGACTCGACGAACAAACATAAGAAACATCTGCATCCCTGTCGTGACGGTTCAGTTTGATTCTCACCAAGGAAGCCCAGCTGGAAAAACGCCAGAAGCCTGAGTTTCCCGGGGCAACTCAACTGGAAAAATGCCAGAAGTCTGAGTTCCCGCTCCTGGTTATCGCAACCAGCTTCTAGAATTCAACCACTAGGACTCACAACAAGCAATCTTGGGTTTGATTCTCACCAAGGAAATATAGCTGGAAAAACGCCAGAAGCCTGAATTTCCCGAGGCAACTCAACTGGAAAAACGCCAGAATTTTGAGTTACCGCTCCTGGTCATCGCGACCAACTTCTAGGATTTAACTTCTAGAACTCACTACTAGCAGTCTTGGGGTAAGTCGCTTGATTTAGTCATACAAACTGCTAGCTAGATCCTTTTTCCTTTTTTTTTTCTGTCTTCTTCTCTTTTACACTTTTTTTTCTTTCTTTTATTTTACAAGGTTTTATTTTATCAAAATGACACAACCTTCTAACCAAAGCCAACCCTCTCACTTATTCTTTTCGTACGATAAGGCATTTACATTAATTCAAAATTTCAATGGCTCTACAAAACATTTGCATAATTTTATAGACGTTGTAGACTTTGTTTACAGTCGGTTCAATCCTCAGGAACAAGATATTTTTTAATTTATTGTAAAAGCTAAATTGGAAGGTCTTGCTTTAGACCACATAACTTCATTAGAACTAAACGACTGGCAAACAATAAAGAACGAATTATTAAAGAAATTTGGTGAATCCAAAGAGGGTGAATCACTCGATATTCACAGTTTAGCTTACGAAATAGTCCACTTAAAACAAATGGCTAATGAAAAGTCACTTCAGTATGTTCAGCGCGTCGAAAATCATTTGCTTCGAATCCACAAAATTATCAAATATAATACTGCATACGATATAACTACTAGGACTGCTTTACTAGAATACCATGAAAAATCCGCCCTTCTAACACTTATGAATGGTGTAAAAGACCCTCTTTGGACGACCATCCATTTACAGAAACCTATATCAATAGCAGAACTAATAAATTTAATAAATAATTTCGAGAATCAGCAATTTATGCTGACACAACAAAGTAGTTCTATAAATCGACCACACAAATTCCAGCTCAGCAAAATGTTACACTCCCTTATCCTCAAACTTCTTTAAATAAACCCGTAATAAATCTTCTCATAAAAAAATGTTCTTTTTCTAATAAAGTCGGACATATTGTAGAGTTTTGTTATGCTAAACAAAATCACGTAAAAATTAAAGACAAACGTTGCAAAAACTATATCCACATAGACCTTTTGATAAAATTTCCCTCAACCTCCTAATTATCGATAAAACATTTATATTAACGGTTATTGATAATTTAACACAATACGCTCAAGCTTACTTGCTAAAGAATAAGACTGGAAAAACAATAGTTAATAAACTAAAAATGTTTATACAACATTATCAGATTCCTCGAGAGCTCTATGTTGACAATGGAACTGAATTTGTCAACAAACAGGTAAAATATTTTTGTAGTAAGTTCCATATTAAGTTAAATGTATGTTCCGTCAAACACTCACATTCAGTGGGAATCGTTTAGAGGTTACATGGCGCAATTGCAAACACTATTCGCTGTTATTTGAATGAAAATCAAAATAATAAATTAACTGACGCATTACTTATTACAATAAACTCATACAAAAATTCTAAACAAACTTCAATGGATTTATCTCCGAGAGAAGTTTTATTTCCTCATTCAAATATTCTCGATCCCTTAGAGTCTAAGCAGATTGCTGAGCAGCAGGTAGAAATAATACGGTTAAGACAATTAGCTTTAAGATAAAAGTCCAAAAGTCATTCCGACAAAAAGTTACCTAAACGTAACTACCCGGGAAGTAACGTTGATCAGTTGGTGTTAATTAAAAGAAAAGCTAATTCTGAGAAATTAGAAGAATATCCTGGAGTCATTAAAAATTATTGAAATAAATAAAAATAAAACTGCTCTAAAATCCTAAAATTTCATTTTGATTAAATAAAACTGTTATATTTTGTATATCAAATTTCCAATTTTTTTCCACCAGTTTTTCTTTCATCAACATCATACCTTAACATGTGATACCAAAGAATATCTTGTGATACCTACTACCTCCTGCTACCTCACAGAAACAACAAGAACTTCCCAGCAAGAACTTCACTACAAGAACTTTCCTCCTTACGAAAAGTTCTTCCTTTGGAAAGGGAGGTGTTATGTATGTGACAGTTTGTGTCCCCATATGATTTAGTGTCGAGTGTCGATAAGTGGTTCAAGGAATACGGTCCGTTAGGCCTGGCAGGGCCGGTTTTAAGGGCCATTGGGCCCCAAGCGGATTTTTTTTTCGGGCCCCCCTATCCTACGTTTGTTATATATAATGATTATGGTTAGGTATGTAGTGTGTTGTGTGTTGTATGATTTACTAAATTATCTACGTAAAAAAAAAGTTTCAACGAACATAATGTATTTTATTAAACATTTTATAAAAAACATTTAAATAATATTAAACAACATTTAACCCAAAAATAAAACATTTATAATTTTTGAACAGAACATAAACGAAATAACTTAATAAGTAAACAAAATAAAAATTTGGGACATTGATCAAATGTGTTTCTTTCTACATTTCTCTTTTGCAAACTGGCCAATTATTAAATTGCAATCTAATTTTTCGATAATGATCCACATAGAAGGATCAAATTCTATGTGGATCAGAGAAAGAGCATCGAGTCTCTCTTGGCTAATGGTGGATCTCAAATAAGTTTGATCCTTTTTAACGCAGAAAATGAGCGTTCCCCGCTAGCATTAGAAACTGGCATAGTAAAATAAATTTCAAGCAACGTAGGAATATTAGGGAAAGTTGATTTTAGTGACTGCACGAGTTCAAATTTTTCAATCATTTCCTTTTTATTCATATTGGTACGTAGTATTCGAAAATGAGCCATTTCACCATTTAATACATCTCCTTCTACATCCGACTTACCTATATGTATTTTTCAAGATATTGGCAGACTCTTCAAATGCTATTTCATCGATATTGCTAAAAAAACACTTAAAACCTTCGATGACAGTGTGGTAGCTTTTAATTCGTCTTTCGAGATCTTGAATTATGGAGTCACATATTACATAATGGGCTTCCACTTTAAACTTCTCTTTGCCACTTTAGGAGAAATATCTTCTTTATAGGTAGCGTCATCCACTAAAGTCACTGCCTCAATTTCGATACATTCAAACTTTCCACGGACTGTTTTAACAAATGATTCTAGCGACTTCAATAACTCGATGCTAGGAGATATATTTAGTGATGGATCTTGCACAGCTTTGCTCGTAGCATTGACTCTTTCTAAGATTTTGTCAACAATGCAGGTTCGACTTTTGCATTTTCATTAAAAGTGCAGAGGCTTCATTTCTTGCTATTGCTTTTTCATCTTAGTCATTCGCAATGGCAGAAAAAAATTCTATAATTGGTTTATAATTTAGTTTGAGAGCAGCAACTGCATTAGCCCGGGCTGACCATCTAGTATCACTAAGACGTTTAAGAGAAATTTTACACCGCAATTACCGGAATTAAATAATTTAGAATAATTCGTATTTATTTATATTTTATTTCGATAAAAAGTGATTATAAAAAAAGAATCACAAAATAATTATGAAAAATCTTGTACTTAATTTTTATTTTGTATAGAATAAGAAATGCCCATTAAAATAAGTTTAAACAGATCACACTTGCGCATACATAAAAATATTAACATAAAAATAAAAAATATAACATTATGACATTATACTAGGCAATATTCGGTTCATAGCCGAGGTAGTAATTTTGTAAAATCGAACACGCGAACAGTCTCAGTATTAAGTATTTAAAAATTGCGACCGCTTCATCGTCACATTTCAAGCCGACATTTATATCTACTATACGCTTGTCGGTTGATCGTTGATTATGAACATTATATTGTACATAATAAAGAAATTTTAGTTAAAATATTTACTTTACCTTTTTAAAAAGACCATTTATTTATTGACTTCTACTTCATTTTCATATTTATATTTTTTTATGACCGAAATACGGGCCCCTTCGGGACGCGGGCTCCCAAGCGGCCGCTTGTTCCGCTTTATGCATAAACCGGCGCTGAGGCCTGGACTATATATTATGAATGACAGTTTTCAGTATCTATTTTTCTTAAGAGCGAACCTGCGAGGGCCCATCCTACCCTAATGTAGGTAGATTCATCTTGACCGTCGTAACGTACACAGCTTTTTGTAATCTTATTGTTTTTCGCCTTGCTATTTTTTGTTAAAGTGAATAAAATTAATTAATTCTAACAAAGCTGATTTTCATTTATTATGACTCATATGAATTACATACCTCTTAGGAATTCCTCTTTCCAGGTATCGTCTTCCTTGAAACTTCTAACGTCAATTTCCGGAATTTTGTTGTTAAATTCGGACAATTTTGACTCGTATTTAGACAGCAAGGTTTCGCTATTGTCCAGCTGCCTCTTGACCTTTTCCAGGCTCTCCGACGATTTGTTGGTGGCGTCCTGGATGCTGTTGATATTTTCCTCCCGAATTTTAGCCAGTTCGTTCTCCATGTTGTTAATGGTGGACGTCACTCTTTCCATTTTCTCAATTACTTCTTTTTCCATTTTGGTGAAGTCGCTCTTGGTCATCATGGGTTCGCTAATGGCGGCTGGCGGGGCTTCTAAGGCTATCTAAATTTTAAAAAATTCACTGTGTTTACTGTGTTATTTTTAATAATCGTTTACTATTTTTGGCCTACATTTGAATTAAAAAGTAAGGTAAGTGTACCAGTCTTCACAGTTTTTCTCAAATATTAAGCAATTTTTATATAGATGAGATAGATTTGATATTATTTGATTAATTTCACAACATGTTCATTTTATAATAGCTGTCATAATTCGTTTCTGCATTACTTTTTGGTACGTGATTGGGACGATGTTGGTTCTGTGCAAATTCTTTAATCGAATGTTAAGACATCCAAACTTTTAAGATAGACTAGAAGTGTACAAAATTAAGTTTAATTATGCATGTTTAATATCAAATAACCTGTATTGATATTAAACTTTCTGTCTTTAGGCGATTATACAAGATTTAAAGAATATTTTTAATTTATCTTCGTGTGTCGATTACTAGGTTTAATAAAAGTGGTGGTGTTCTAATAATCGCCAACAGAACATAACAATTAATTTATTTCACTTTTAAGAATTTCAAAACAGGGATCTCAAAAACTGGAGGAGATACAAAGAGAATTACATTAGAGAGAAGTTATGCCTTGCTGAACCATACATCGTTAAAACATACAATCCAATATTTTCAGTAAACAAGAATTGTAGAGATAGAAGAACAGTAATATCTGTTTTTAGGTTTGTTTTAAACCTTTTTATTCAAATTAAAGATAATAAAAAACAAATATTTAATTACTTTTCTACTTATATCTTGATTGAGTTGATCTATAACTAGAGGTAGGTTCTTCTGTAGATCCAGTATGGCTTCGTAGATCTTTTGCTGTTGCATCTGTCTTTCCCTTTCTTCCTTGTCTTTTTGCATTAGTATTGTTTCTACAGCCGCCAACCGTTCATCTATCCTACTAACCTTAAAATGTTTAATATTAAATATTGCATTTTTTTTACTTTTTTACAAAATTTTTATGTAAAAAATTAAAGAGACTTAAAAATATTTTCAAAAGATATATTAGAATGAACTAAAATGGTTGCTTACAGTTCCCTTTAATGGATCTAAGAGCTTTATTCTTTTGTCTATGTTTATTAAACCTTTTTTGAGCTGCTCTCCTAATTGCTTTTCTCTAAATTCATGCCTTTCAAGTTTATCATCTGTATTTCTTACTACGTTTACTATTTGAAGGATTGCCAACCGAATATCTTCATTGCTGAAATAAAAATTGATATAAAAATTATTCCTTGAATTACATTTCGTTGTTTAATTATTTATACTGTATTCTCTATATAAACACGTAACTATAAATAAGAGTTTGACATTTCTTGGTAAAATAATTATCGGTAATAAAACTGTCCTGTGTTTCATTCACACTGTATAACATTCAGGGTAGTTCTCCTTTCAGGAAGTAGAACAAACGTTACTATAAATACAATGAAAAAGATATCAAAAAAATAGAGACAATAGTTTAAACTAGACCCCAATGCTCACCATCAAATTTTTGTGACACCCTGTATACACGTACTTTATGTATAACTTAGAGTAATTTAAGACACTCATCTGTACAAAGCACCCTCGATGTTGAGCATTCAACTTAAATCAGTTAATTGCCATAAATTGAGAAAAGACAGAACCAAAACAATTAAACTGAAAAAAGGACGTTTTTATAATACAATGAGCACATTGAATCATACAGTTAAACATCCATTAAATGAACAGATGTTTCCTTTATGGTTTTCTAAGAAAATGCAGATTTTTCTTGAATTGAACGGTTCGATATCATTATACTGCATTTTATAGGCTTTTAATAAAAATTTAATTCGTATACCTATCATCACAGAAAATATAGGCCCATATTCTGTGATGCCATGTATATACAGGGTGAGTCTTAAACAAGTGCAATTATTTTCAGGGCTGGTAGATCTCGATAAAAGCAACATATTTTGTCTTTACCGTTTTTCAAAAAGATTTTGAAAATTTTGAAAAAAAATTTTGCTTAAATTTGTAGAACCACTCGATATTTTCTTGTAAATTTAATCTATTACCTATGTTGCCATATTATCAAGAAATTATGTTTTTTAACTAAAAACTAAAAAGAATTCCTAAACATTTTTCAATAAATTCCAAATTTTGAAATATTTTTTTCGCGAAAAAAACCTTTTAATCGTGTTTCTGGGATAGAAATATACCACTCCTGAAAATATTTCCACTTATTTAGAACTCACCCTCTATCTTAATAATTTTGGGGATATATTTAAGAATACAGATTAAAAATTATTAACTTTACCCATTTTCATTAGCGAGAAATTCTAACTGAGGTCCTTAACCCTATTCTTAGTAAAATTCATCCAATTATTACTATCATTGTTGTATTGGTTTTAACACACTGTACATACCAAGCAAAATGGTCTATATTTTTTGGTATATTTACAGTGTGAGTGAAAACAAATAATATTTTTCTCAACCATTTCAAATGGAATACCCTACATTTCATATAATAAATAAACAAAGTTTTTATTCAACTTGCTATGTGTTATTAATCACACAAGGATAACACATACCCAAACATATTTATAAGACTATGTAGAATACATAGTCAATAATAGGTATAAAGTAGTGCAGTTATTTTTGTGCTTATTTCCAAAAACTTATTAAATCTAACGCCACCAATGACTTATATGTTTATTTACATTTTGCTGGCTGTTGTTAATCTATAATTCAAAAGAAAATGTGAATATAAATGAGTTCATTAATATTATGCTCTTATCTGAAATAAATAATTTATAATCCATACTGTGATATAATCAAACTTAAATTATTTAAAATAAAAAACTACAAACATTATTACACGTTATATGAAAATCAAGAAATAATTGATTTTTTTAATCTTTATAACCGATATCTTTAAAGTAATGCCATTTATGGTTTTATATTAATGTTAATATATTTTATTACTCTTAAAATCAACTGCTAAAAATCTGGGGACCACCCTGTATAAGATTTCATTTTCTTTCATCAAACCTACCGCGGCGAAAACAGTTTTTATTATTAAATTAAAAGGCCTTTAATACTAGTTATAAAATAAAATAAAGCATAAACATCCGCTTAATATAATATAAATTAATTAAAACTACAATCATAATGTTGTTCTGGGCCTCTGTTCTAATATTTATACAAAATGGAACATAAAATTAAATTTCTAGGAAATATCCTTGTCCTGATTTCAATTATTATTATTATGTATATAAACTTTACTGTATGTTCTATAATAAAAAAATACAAGGAGCAAATATACAAAAGTTATATTTTCTATAATTATTTACATGTGACTTTACTCATCGTGGTGGAAGAATATAATAGAACAAGAGGGTAAGCTGTGATAATCTATCTATACTAATATAAGGCTAATATATAAAATCCTTAAGTGACTCACTGATTAATCACGATCAAACAACTCAACGTAAGTAGCTCAATTTTGGCATACAGGTTGATTCTAAGGTGTACAGGTCCGATAAGAAGGGATTTTTCGAAATTCCAGTTCCAAGGGGGTGAAACCACCCCTTAAATATTACAATATTTTTTATTTAAAAAACGGCCAAGTTTCCGAAAAAACGCTTAAACACGTATATTTTACCACAGATTAGGTATCCTATAAGTATACAGATAAAAATCTTGTCCCTAATTCGTGGTACGAAAATTGTTTTTTATGACGATGTGCAAACGAGTCAAATTTCCTGTGCGCAAAAATAAACTCGCGTAAAATAACAATAAACAGCGTAATAGAGAGATATCGCTAAACCGAATAGCGTGCATGGACGTTAATAAGGCCAGGTGTTATTTCCTTTACGTGAGGTGGTATTAACTCTCTTCATTTATAGTTATCGGATCGGAAAGAATTCTGATCGCGTCGCGTCCGCTATCTAAACTTAACCTAACTTTGAATTTAAAACTTTGAAATTGTTTTGTTTACTAGGTATTTTAAAACTAAAGGGCTAAAGTGCTTATTTCCAGTGCTTTATTGTTCAACGTCTGCCAGTGGGTTTAGGGCAACAAGCAACAAACAACAAATTCTCTTAGAAGGGCTAAGTCGTCATCTGCTGTAAACCTAAGACTCTTTATAGGTTCTTTAGTATTGGAAGAGGTGGAATCCATATTTTGGGCCATATTTATTTAATTAAAACTAATCCCAGCTACTTAAATATCAAATTACCTAATAAAACTAAAGCAATAATTCAAAACAATTCAAACATAACCTAAAATAAAAGGTCTCGCCGGCCGGCTCCGGTTGTCAAATACCCGCACATGCCCATTTAAGCAATTTTTAAACGTTATCAGAGGTTATTTAGAAAGAGCGCTTGGTGTAATTCTTTGTGTAATTGATCCGCAAATTACGTCAGGCGGTAACGTTATTAGCGGGTGTTGCGTTAAAAATTGACTCGCGCATATCGTAACCATGATAAGGCACGCGTAAATACTGGCTGACGCTATTCGGTTTTCCGATATCTCTCTAATAACTGTGCCGGTCAGGCGCTGTGCACAATTTCAGAGGCCATAAGTGGGCGTGCTATGTGCGCAAACTAGTCACCTAACTAGTGCCCGATTCCGAAAATTGGAACCACGAAAAACAATAAAGAAAAAACAAAGATTATATAGGTCTCGTCTCCATAAATAAGTACAATGTAGTTCCCTTTTCTCCGTGCGGCGACCACACATTTTAAAGCCTAAACAAACAAATTTCAACATGCCCCTCGCTTCCCTGCTCCCTTACCTCATTACATGCCCTTGCATCATTTCTTATTTTAGTCTTTTTTTTTGTGCGGTACGACCCACATCGAATATCGCGTAAAAGATATCGATCGGCTCTCGCTCCGTAGAGCGGAGTGTTTTAGATTATCTTAAACGGATGGATAAGCGATTAAAGTTATTAGAAAATAAAAACATGCGTAAAGAAAAAAGATTAGTGACAAGTTTGGAAGAGGAAAGTGTAACAAGTTTTGAGAGGCAGGCGAATAGTAGTGATTATTCACCAAGATTATGAGGACGAGATTAGAAGCAGTGTTTGAGATGTTAGAAATAAAGGTAAATAAACATATAACATATACATATACAATACCTGAATAGTAGGGAAATTTCTTCTAAGCTTGGGTATATAGGTATTGTGGGTGAATACCTTAGTGAATGCTTATATTATCTAGATTTTTCCACTTATGCTTATATTACACTAATATGGCAGAGTACGTTGGTGGTTACTCTAAAAGCTTGGTTTATAGGACATTAAATTTATTCACGTTAATTGTGGCGGAGTACAGTGGTGGTTACTCTAGCTTGATGTGTAGGTATTGTTGGTGAATACCTCAGTGAATGCTTATATTACCTAGTTTTTTCCCACTTATTACATTAATACAGCGCAGAGTACGTTGGTGGTTACTCTAGCTTGGCATATATGAATTATTGATGAATACTTATCGCATGGCTGTCTTATTATACTAATATGGCAGATTACGTTGGTGGTTACTCTAGCTTGGTTTATAGGACATTAAATTTATTCACGTTAATTGTGGCGGAGTACAGTGGTGGTTACTCTAGCTTGGTGGGTAGGTATTGTTGGTGAATACCTCAGTGAATGCTTATATTATCTAGTTTTTCCACTTTTTACAGTAATACAGCAGAGTACGTTGGTGGTTACTCTAGCTTGGTTTATAGGACATTAAATTTATTCACGTTAATTGTAGCGAGGTACAGTGGTGGTTACTCTAGCTTGGTGGGTAGGTATTGTTGGTGAATACCTCAGTGAATGCTTATATTATCTAGTTTTCCCACTTTTACAGTAATACAGCAGAGTACGTTGGTGGTTACTCCAAGCTTGGTATATATGTATTATTGGTGAATATTTATCGCATGGCTGTCTTACTACAATAATATGGCGAAGAGTACGTTGGTGGTTACTCTAGCTTGGTTTATAGGACATTAAATTTATTCAAGTTAATTTGGCGCGGAGTACAGTGGTGGTTACTCTAGCTTGGTGTGTAGGTATTGTTGGCGAATACCTCAGTGAATGCTTATATTACCTAGTTTTTCCCACTTATTACATTAATACAGCAGAGTACGTTGGTGGTTACTCTAGCTTGGTATATATGTATTATTGGTGAATACTTATCGCATGGCTGTCTTGCTTTTATTTTCAAAGTTGGTAGTCCCATAAGGGCACGTTGG